TCCCATGCACATTCCGGGCCTGCCTGCCCGTTCCCAGCTGCACGGCCCTGTCCTGATGCCATTCAAGCCCTGGGCCTGACCTGAAGGGTGGGGACCTTGGCCACCCAGAACCCCTAGAGGGGGAGGAAGGAACAAGTGCAGGAAATTTCTGGTGAGGGCATTCCCATGTCCACCACCAGGTGGCGACATCGGCACAAGACAACCCCAGGGCTGCCCAGCTGGCCAGGGGGAGGTGGGGGCACAAGGGCAGGACTTGTGGCTCTGACACGGGCGCCTTGGGGTCCTCCAGCAATTGGCCTCTCCACTGGCGCTCATCTTTTCCAGGACACACCTGTGTCAAGGGCCCGAATCCTGCAAAGTGTATGGTGCCCATGGCATGAGTGTTGACCAGGGGCCACCTCAGTAGTTTGTGTCCAGATGGTCAGGATGGACATGAGTGTGGCCAGGTTGGGGGCGGGGCAACAGCAGCCCTAGAGGCCAAAGGCTTGTCTAACCGTCGGCTGGTGTCTGCGGGGAAACCCTGGACTCTGGTCCCGGGCGGGCCTCTGATCGCTGGCCTCCAGTGTCCTTTGCTGGACTCCTGTCCATCACTAAGTCTGTGAACGAGGGCTGTGATGCCAGCCCTGACTGAGAATCGTGAGCTGCAGGGGCACACAGTGGGCAGCACAGTCGCAGGAGCCAGAGTCCCTGTCCTGCTGTGTCCTCCTTGGGCAAGTGGCTGTGTTCTCTGAACTTCAGTCTCCTTTTCTGTCAGTTGGGGGCGATGACAACACCTTCCACCCAAGGTTTCTGTGAGGACGACGTGACAGCTCTCAGAACTCCTCTGACATGAAACGACGCCTAAGAAACAGCCAGAAGTACAGGGCAGCCTGGTCTGAGGAGGACTCGGGGATCGGCCAGGCCGGGCTTCCTGCCCAGGGCAGGAACCTCCATCCGTGTGCAGGGCAGCGGCCTCCAGCGAGGTTTGCTGGCCTCCAGTGACAGAGAGCTCACCCCCTCCCAAGAAAGGAGGTGACCCACGGTCAGTGGGCTCAGCTTAGATTGGTGTCCTTCCCTGGAGTCACAGCTGGTTCTCCGCCTGGTCTGTGGCCTAGTGTTCGGCTCAGGAGGGTCAGGACCACCACCTGCAGGCAGCTGGGTGGGGCCAGAGGGAGTCTCCCGGAGGACAGGGGGGCTGCCTTCTCCATTGCAGGGCACTTGGGAGGGAAGGAACCTCTCCGCAGAGAGGCCCCAGGACCTGAGGAACGGATCCCTCTGTCCCGGCCACCAGGCCAGTGCGCAGGTCTTTCTGATGGCTCTCTGGGGCTGTGTCTGGGAGGGGAGGGAGGGCCCAGCCCCCACTTCTGCTTCCTGTGCACCTGAAGAGGAAGCTCCGGGAGCCCAGCCGGGCGGGGCCTCTGCCRCCCTCTCCCAGGCATTTGGAAATCATGTGTGGGTGGCCTCCGTTTCCCTCCAGAGGTGGCTGTTCTGTACCCCGCCACTGGCACACAGAAGGCGCCCCCACAAATGAACGTCCCTGGAACTAAGCCAAACACGGAGAGGCCGGCAGTCGTGGTCCCGTGGGAAGAGTCTTAGTTTTAGTGTAGAGGAGGCCGCTGGGGACTTCAGGGGGACACCGTGCTCCCCCCATTCCCTCTCAACTTCCTTCTCCTTCAGGGCTGCCACCTCCTCCACGCAGCCCTCCTGGGCCCCTCTCCCCCTTGCCCTGGATCATTCCCTCTTTCCCCGGGTGTCCCTCGGTGTCCTGTGTGTCCCTCGGTGTCCTGTGTATCCCTCTCCCGCTGAGCGGGACCAAAGTGGTGGTTAACAATTAGTTTATCCTGTGCCTCGTCTTCCTCACGGGTAGAACAGAAGAGCCTGGGGTGCCTACCCGGGACTGCAGCGAGGGCTAAGAGATTGAAAGTGCTTGAACAAGCGGGCTCGGTGGAGCACATCTGTAATCCCAGGCATTTGGGAGGCCGAGGCAGGAGGATCATGAGTTCAAAGCCAGCCTCAGCAACTTAGCCAGGCCCTGGGCAACTCAGTGAGACCCTGTCTCTAAATAAAATATCGGGCTGGGGATGTGGCTCAGCGGTAGAGCACTTGCCTGGCACGTGTGAGGCACTGGGTTCGATTCTCAGCACCACATAAAAATCCATAAAATAAAGGTCCATTGACAGCTAAAAAATATTAAAAATTAAAAATAAAATAAAATATAAAAAAGGGCTGGGGGGGCTGGGGTTGTGGCTCAGTGGGAGAGCGCTCACCTGGCTCGTGTAAGGCACCAGGTTTGATCCTCAGCACCACAAAAAAATAAATAAAATAAAGGTGGGGGTGGGGCTGGGATGTGGCTCCGTGGTTAAGCACATCTGGGTTCAATCCCTGGTACCAAACAAAACCAAACCAAACAAAACAAAAGTGCTTGAGCAGTATGTGGCATGTAGATGCTGTCCCCAGTTGCCCTCCATTACTAAATTGGGCTGGGATCATCTCTGTCCCCTCTAGACACGGGTTCCTCCACGCCAGGGCCTTTCCTTTGTGCATCCTGCTGGGAGGCCAGGGCCGTGCCCAGTGTGAAGGACAGACAACTGGACCCCAGCCAGCAGTGGAGAGGTGCTGTTCCTGACCTCGCCTGCTCTGGGACAGCGTGGCGCGGGGCTGCGCCGCCTCGGTTGCCCGCTGGGGATGCCCACAGCCGGTTTCTCTGCTCCTCCTCAGCTTCGGGCCTCTAACCTGCGTATTCACAGCTCTGCGAGGTCACGGGGAGGAGAGGAGACGAAACTGGCCCAGCCTGTCCCTGCTTGGCAGCCCTTGGGTAAGAGACGATGGGAAGTTGAGCTTCTGCTGTGCCAAGGTTTGTTTCCRTTATCCTGGTTCCTGTGGCCGACCAGGGGACCCGAGGCCCTGGCCCACAGCCTGGGCTAGTTGGGGCTCTTTTCCTAGGCCAGCCCCAGCCGCTCTCCAAGAGGCCCTGTGGCTGCCGAGTGGCTCAGAAACTCAGGACTTGAGCCTCCCCTCTGCAGGTGGATTGGTGCTCTGTCGCCCATGGCCTGCCTGCTGTGTGAGCCTCCTCCTGCCCACCTGGAGGCCAGCCAGCCCCTCACGGCCAGGCGGGAGCCTCCTGTGTGCCCGCTGGACAGGCAGCCCCTTCACTGCAAGCCGGGGAGGGAGAGGCCTCCCTGCATCTTAGGCTCGGTCATCCGTGCCAAGCCGTCACCAGGATGAAGACACATGGGAGGTGAAGGAGGTGGGACCCAGGTGCCCAGGAGGTCAAGGTCCCCAGGAGCTCGGCTGACCAGGCTGCCGCGTGTCCTTCTGGGAGGCAGAGCACTCCAGYACGACAGGCAGGTGCAGCAAGCTGGCACCTGGGCAGGTGCGGGGGCACTGCCAGTGTCAGAGGATCAGGGTTCCGTGTTCATGCAGCCTGGCACTCGGCCACCTCCCAGTGCCAAGTTGTAACAAGACTCGCAGAGGCACAGACCGGTGCCTTTAAAACGCTCCCTCTGCGCCGCGGCATTAACATGACGTCTATCACCATGGCATCGAGGTGCTTAGACAACCTGCTCCCCCCAGGAGCTGGGGAGCAGCAGGAAGCAGATTATCTGTGTCTCGCTGTGACACACGCGATCATGTATCACGGTGATGGATCAACAGTCAATACCGCCGGGTCCCGGCCCGCCCTCGTGCGCTGGAACGTCGCGCGTTCATCCGTCTTCCTCTCCTGGGGGTGGCCCTGCTCCTGCCTGCCATCCTCCCGTGCTCCTGGCCTTGGCGGGAAGCACCTTTGGGCTGTCATGGTTCACGTGCAAAGTGGCCACGGGGGACGCGTGGGGGCAAAGCCCTGGCGGGGCCCTGCTGTGACATCCTGGGGGCTGCAGCCAGGAGACCCAGCTGTGTTCAGGGGCAGCGGGGCTGGAGGAGGCCACGGCACCTCGCAGCCTGGCCTTGGATTCCGGCCCCTCCGTCTGCCGTGGTCTTGGGCAACTTGCTTCAGCTCCTCGTGGACAGTCTCCTTGGTGCAGCTGAGAACAGCCTCTTCTCCGGGGGTCGGTGGGCGCGGATGGAGGTGAGCCCCGGCGGGTGGCACAGTGCCCTCGGAGGCCCACTTCATCCCACCCACGCACCCCACCCTGGGTCGCTTCCCTCTGCCACTCCAGATGCCCACCCCATCCAGCCCAGCAGTGGCTCCAGGGTGCCCAGGGGGCAGGCCTCCCAGTCTGCTGGGGGAGGGGACCCAGGCAGCAACCTTTCCCTGTGTGCAGGTGCCGCCAGGCCAGGCCAGGCCAGGGAGTCTCACAGTGGGGGGATGGAGTGAAGCCACGGGGAGGCGTCCCCAGGGCCTCTGCCAGAGGCCCCAGAGGCCCTCCCTGGGCTAAGGACGGCAGCCTGTCTTTCAGCCCCAACAGATGCTGGGCCTCGTCCACAGCTGAGAACGTGGGGCTGTCCCCTAACCCTCGCAGCCTGCCCCTCCTCCACCAGCCCCCTATCTCCCCAACCACTCACACCCCCACCAAAAAAGCCCACTCCTCGGTAGCACATTATCAAGATTCCCGGACTCAAAGGGGAAGTTCTTGTGGACGTGCTTGTGGTTGTTTGAAAAGTGTTTCAGAAATGAGGTGCTACCCCGGACCTGAGGTCACCCACGGAAACCCGGTTCCCTCCTCTCTATAGCCMCCACTGTCCCCTGGCCAGGGCCCCGCTGGGAGGGGTTGAGGAGGGCGGAAGCCTCCTGGGGAGGCCTGAGTCCCTGCCCCAGCTCTGCTCCTGCCTGTGTGGCCTGGACTTCCCATCTGTCGCCACCCCCTCTGTTAGAGAGGAAATTCGGGTGATGGCCAGGGGTAGCCAAGGGCGGCCTTGAGGAAGCAGAAGGGTGATCAGGGAGGAGCTTGTGGAACACGAAAGGGAACCGTGGYTGCCGCTGTGGGCTGTGCCCTCCTGGGAACTAAAGAGGAAGGAGGGACACTGACCAAGGAAGCCCGGGATGCAAAGCCAGCTTCTGTGGTGGCAGGCTGCGGCGGGCCCCCTGCACCCTCTTGGCTGCCCCATGGCTTCCCGGATCCTGGGGTGGCTCCTGGTGCCCTGGACCTTGCAGCTGGCAGGTACCGTCTGTCTCCTCTTGTCTCCCTCCTGTTGGTGATAACAGCACAGCGGGTTCATCCAGCCGGCGCGCTGGCTCCCTGGGACCCGTCTCTGGGGATTCGACGGTTGCTGTTTGCACATTGCAGGCTTCACAGGGGACCCTTCAGGGACCTAGAAGATGTCTAGTTAATGCCTTGCCAAGGTGGCTTTGGAGGGTGGGGAACAGCACTGTCCCCCTTGTTGCTGTGTTAACAGCCCCCTCCCAGCAGAGCAAGGCCTGCTGGCCCTTAAACAAGGAGGGTGGGCGATGGGTGGGGCCTGGGTCCTGGGGAGGGACAGCCTCCAGCCTCAGGACTGTCATGTGGCTGTTGGGTGGGACCTGGCAAGCAGCCCGAGCCTGCCTGGTCTGTCGCTGACATTGATTAGCCAGGGAGAGAAGGGGAGGCCAGCTGCCAGCCGCCCAGAGCACGGCACCCTGGGGTACAAAATTGTCACTGTGACCGGAGAGAGTGGCCCCTCCCACTTCTTGTAATCCAACCCAAAGCCAAGTGTTTTACAGCAGGCGTTTGCTTCTCCCGGGGCCACTCCTGCTGCCCCTTCCTGGTCCCAGGCTCCCCCAGAAGTTGGGTGGCCTGGAGCCAAACCAGGCGTTAGGGTGGGTCCCTGGGGGCCGTTCACCCAGGCGGCGGGGGCCTTCCCGGAGTGTCCTCTCCAGGCAGCCTCCCTGTGGCTTCCTGGCAGCACTGAGGAACTTCTGCCAGATCTCCTCGGGTCCCTCTTTGGCCTGGGCACAGCTGGCCCGTTGCCCACGGTGGTCACCCCTCTGTGAAGGTCAGGGGCTTTTCCCTCTGTATTCGCTTCCATTTTTCTGAGGCTTCGGGGAGTGAGCGTTTATACCACGATCATCCGAGGGTCAGAATCCGCCTCTCCCAGGCCCTCAACCGGCGGCACCCCGTCCACCCTCACCACACCCTGGAGGGTACGTAGTGTCCTCCCCAGCACCGTTTCAAAGACAGGGAAATGGAGGTCCAGGAGGCAGTGACCTTGCCCAGGGCCTAGATGCAAGTAGAGGTCGGGCTCCGACCCCAGTCACTTCAGCCCCAGCCAGGACCACTGGCCACGGGCTCTGGGGCTCCCCCCAACATATTGCCAAGAACATTCTCCACCCCCAAAGTTATAATTTGCCCTGAGGAGGCCAGGGCTGACCKGTGTGTCTCTACGGTAGGCTGGGCCCAGCCTGCGACCTGTGCGTCCCACGTGGCCCCACACACCAGATGGGTGCCAAGAGGACCCGCGTGGGGACCGCTGCTGGTGGGTGACGAGGCTTTCCAACTCCCACTTGGTCCTCTTCATTTCCCCCAGTCCCCATCATGTTCCCTTTGCATGGTCCCCTGCCCTGAAAGACACCTGGCACACGCTGTCCCTGAGTCCCGAGGCTTCGCCAGGCGCCGGGGCCGCAGCTGCCTCTGCGGAGAAGCTTTTTTGTAACAGTGGGAACCAAAGCGGACCTTCTGCCCAGGATTGCAACAAACGCTGCACCGCGAGAAGCTCTGCCTGCTCTTTCACAAGAGGGGAAGGTCCCGGAACCCACTGGGGCAGCTCACGGCACCCCGCTTCATCTCTCTGCCGCCCCATGCCCTTCCTCCACACTCCTGCCTCCTGCCTCCTCCTCCAACCCTCCCCAGTGCCCACGCAGACGGGCCTGCACCCCTCACTGTCCACCCCTCACTGCGTCCTGCCGGAGGGGGCACTGTGCCTGACCGGAGGGCGCGTGGTCAGTGTCCTCACTGAGGTCCAGGCTCAGGATGCAGGGTTCAGTGGCTAAGGCCRGCCTCCAGCTCGCAGTCCTCCTGCCTCAGTCTCCTGAGTCTCTGGGGTCAGGATCTGGGCAGGATCTGGGGTTAAGAGCATGAGCCAGGGACATTCAGCCTAAGTTCAGTCTGAGCAGTACCTCTTGCCCTGGGACTCTGAGCAGGTTACTTAATGTCATTGTGCCTTGATTAGCTCATCTGTTGAAGGGGTACAATAATAAGCCCAAACCTGCTGTTTGGGACATCAGTATTGTCAGCTGCCTGCCAGCCTGGCACAGCCAATGGAGACTCAGGACATCTTGGAGAGCCCACAGACTCCTGCCTGGTGGTCTCYAGCCTACCCTGGCATGGCCCTCCTCCTCCTTCTCCTGGGTGAGCTGGGACTCGGGTCTGTGACCCTCGGGCCTCTTCAGCCCTCTGTGAGTTCTGTGTCTCTCAAAGGCTCTGGCAGTCACAGGTCATCTGGTTTCATGGGCAACTGCTCCCCCCAGAAGGGAACTACCTGAGCCAGAGGCCCAGCTTCTCACCCTTTTCTGCCAGGCCTCAGATACCCCCAAGGACTTTGGGGCCAGACAGACCTGAGTTCAGAGCCTTCTCTTCGTCTCTCGACTGCTGTGTCACCTCAAACAATTTGCTTAACCTTTCTGGTCCTCGGTGTCTTCAACAAATATCGGTTCCTTTTCTTCTTGGCCTTTCCAGAACTCTGGGCTATATTTATTTATCAGATATCCATTGAGGAGGACCAGTTCAAGGTGCTGCAGGGGCCAGCGGAGAACAAGCCACAGGCCTCCCTCTCAGCCTGGTGGAAACTGTGAGCATCGACCCTGAGAACGACCCTGGGTGGAATTCGCCTGAGGGGGTTTGCTCTGTGGCAGCCCCTTTGTTGTCTGAAAGGTAGACGAGGCTCTGCCTTTTACAGGCCAGGGCTTCCTGCCTCCCTTCTAGCTGCCGGCCTCCTCACCGCTAGCCTCTGCTTTCATCTTTGTCTAATCCCAATAAAGAGCTTGGGAAGCAGAGGCGGGCGGCGGACCGCAGGGCCCTGCTGGAGCGCGGCCAGGGAGCGCTGGGAAGGCCGCCGGCTGGAGGGGCACCGGTGGCAGGCCCAGCGTGAACAAAGGCAGGGAGGCCAGAAGGCAGAGCCCGGGGAGGACCGGCGAGAGGTTCCGTCTGACTGGAGAGTCTCTTGGCAGAGCAGTGGGAGGCCACATGGTTTGCAAGCAGATTACAGAGCCTGCCCGTCAGGTGGGGTTCAGATGCTGTCCCCCCAGCGCCGGTCCTCGTTGCTTTCTGCGTTGTGATTGTGAAATATGAAACACACGCAGAAGAGTCCTGTGCTGCATATGAACACTTCACAGTCCTGTCAGAAAGAGAACAGTCCAGGTCATTCCAGAATGTTCCAGAACATTCCTCCAAAGACACCCTCTTGAGGGTGGTACCTGCCCTCAGAGGCACCAGCCTCCTGACTCTTGGGGCATTTCTTTATAGCTTTTCTGTAGTGCATGTCCCTAAGCCACAGGGAGGAGTTGGCCTTTCCCGTGAGTGTGTGATGCTGGGGATGAGGTGAACGCGGGTCTCAYGGTGCAAGGCAGGCCCTCCACCGCTGAGTCAGGCCCCCAGCCTCGCGGGCTGGTTTGAACTTGGCATATCTGGGAGCACGGCGTGTATTCTCTGGTGATGCGCCTCTTGGTTCAACATTTATGCTTTTGAAGGTACATCTAGTTGATGGGACGGCTGACGTTTGTTTTCATGGCCGCAGAGCGGACATCGCAAACCATGGCCTGTGGCTAAATCCAGCCCGTTGCCTCTCCTGAGTTGTGGGTGGCTTTTTAAATATTTTTAAATAATTGAAAAAAAATATCAAAAGATGAATATTTGATGGTGTGAAATTCTACAAAATTCAAATGGCCATGTCTACCCATAAAGTTTTATTGGAACATGGCCACCCTCATTTGTACCTAGGTCACCCAGGGCTGCCACTGTGCTATGGTGACGGTTGAGTAGTTGTGGTGCAAGTGACATGGTCCTCAAAGCCTGCAATGTTTGCTACCTGGCCCTGTTCAGAAAACGGCTTTGGACTCTCGACGCGGAGTATCCTGCCCAGTAAATATACGGCCATTCCCCCAGTAATCCTGGCGTCCCAGGGCTGCCCGTCCAGGGCTAGGAACACGCGTGTGTGGTCTCCACGCGTGTGCGTGTTGGGTGACCCGGGGTGTGTTTCCAGTGTAGCTGCTCCTCCTGTGTGGACAAGAGCGTCCCTGGGGCGGGGATTCTGTGGACTCCAGCCTGGTGCCTGGCTCCCGCTGATGCCCAGGACAGAGTAACCAGAGTTCCACAGTCAGACAGCCCCAGGAGGCGCCCTGAGCAGGGCCCAAGTGCGATGCTCTGGGGGATCGGCAGGGTGTGCCCTCCAGCCAAACTCCTCAGGGTCCAGCAGCTGGCCCTGCCACCCCCTCCTCTAGGCTCAGGATCCTCACAGGTCAAAGGTCTGCCCATGGCCTCCCCACACCTCCTAAGGTGCCAGTGACCACTRTCCCTGGACACACCCAGGCTGTATCTCGATGGCTTCAGAACAGGAGGTGCTGAGGGCTGGGCCAGGCCTGAGTCTCACCTCTGAGGTCGAGTTTAGCACAGAGCTAGGCACAGACCAGGGGCTGCAGGTCCAGGGCTAGAGGGTCCCTGGCCAGGTACATTAGGGGAAAAGACAGGTCTAGGTGACCATTCGGGTGAGGTGGGGGTCCCTGTCCACTCTGGATCTCAGACTCCTTTCTGACTTGGACACAATACAAAGTTCCTTGGGTACTGTAAGCATATTTAAATTTTAATTTTGGGGGGTGCTGGTGACTGAACCCAGGGCCTTGCTCACACTAGGCAAGTGCACTGAGCCGCCCAGCCCCTGCCCCGCGTGTCTTGTGCGGGAGAGTAGTCACGGCGTCTGGATAAACGTGGGTCTAGAAACAAGATCTGACCTGGGTGAGGCCCTGGAGCGTGGGAATCGGGCCAGTGGACACTGGGTGAGGCTGAAGCCAGAGGAAAGGGAGGGGGCCTCCAGGTGAGCCTGGGCAGGGGGACAGAAGCTGGATCATCCTCACCTGTCCTCAGCTGAGGACGGCCTGGACGTCGGACGGGAGTCCTAGGAGACCTTGGCCAAGTCCCCTGGCTACTCTGGGCCTCCTTTGCCCACATGTTGAGGTCCCCATATCTTCCCACGC